TCATGGCTGTCGCCGGCCAACGAGTTGGTGTTTTTTCAATGTATGCTTCAGACACGGGTCACGACGAGGCGTTCCCCATAGCGACCCCTAGAGGACGCAGTGTCTTGTTCCCTACTCAGGGAACCATGGTTACATAAGTAACCTGAGACGTTTTGCTGCAATGCTAAAACGCGTGCAGTTTCTCTCTAGTGTGAATCCTCATGTGCCCCTTAAGGTGTCCTTTTTGTGTGAAGCTCTTCTCACTGATCACAGGCGAACGGCTTATCTCCAGTGTGAACTCTCATGTGAAACTCAAGAATACGTTTGGTTGTACAAAAGTATTCCCGTCGCTTCATAAGATTCAGATTGAACCACTGACGGCAGATGGAGTATTCTGATCATTTCTTTCATACTTTTCTGGACCTTGACAGTGTAATTTACTTGGCAGTCAATGGGACAGTCATAAGCCTCACAGTTTTCATCTAAAATATCTTAAATTGTGTTTCGAGGACGAACAAAGCTTTCACGGGTTTGGAACGACATGGGGGTAAGTGATTAATGACAAAATTTCCATTTGAACCCTTTAAGAGCATTTCTGAGAAGTTTTATACATACGGGCCCTGATGAAGTGCTTGAATCTTTATAACATGAATGAAGAATAAACACCAACCTGTTTGTTCTTGAGTATCTTCAGTGTGTTTGATTCTGCAGGGTTCTGGATCTCTCATCTTCTCTCTGTCCTCTTTAATAAACTCAGTCTTTGCAGATTTCAGCTCTTCCTGATGCTTTGATGCTCGTCTTCACTTGTGAACTGATGGAGATATTCCAGCATTTATTGCTGAATTACTGTGGGCGGAGCTTCATTGATGATGTGATTGCAGTGGGAGGAGCTTCACTGATGATGTGATTGTTGTGGGTGGAGCTTCATTGATGATGTGATTGCAGTGGGAGGAGCTTCATTGATGATGTGTTTGTTGTGGGAGGAGCTTAACTGATGCTGTGGTTGCAGTGGAAGAAGCTGATCTACCAAAATCAAAAATATAAATTTGTTTTTACTCTAATTGATTACAAAATATACAAATGTAAATTCTTTCAAATATAAAGAGTGGTAGGAAACCAGTTGAAAGCATAAACACAGAAATAAATGTACAGATTTTTAATCAAATAGCATCAGTCTGTTGACACCAATGAAATGAGCTTTAAATGTCAATTTACAGGAGATCTGAAGACAACAGCATAATAAATTAGGTGAAAACAGGAACTATTGACATGAAATAAAGAGTCTTTTCAGCAGCTCTGTTAATATTGATGATCCTCAGACGATCAACACTCATTCAACAAGACATTCAGGATCATCAGAAGATCATCTCTCTTTATTCTGAGTGTTTGCTGCTAGAAATAGGGGCTATCGGAGAGAGCCGCGGGGTTGGAGAAGAGGAAAAAGGCGGCGGACGAGCGCAGACAAGCAACAAAAATAAGTTTAACTAAAAATAACAATATCTGTTTTTATTAAATCTTAGTCTATAAAATGAATGAATATATGAAATATTTGACTTAAATAGCCTAATTAACAGATTAACAAAACGAAAGGAAAAGACTGAGACATGCTGCTGAGTTTGGTTCATAGGCTATTTGTGTGGTGCGGTGCTCTACGAAAGTCCACGGAAAGGAAACCGAGATGACAGAAATAAAAGTAAACACATTGCAGTTTCGAATGACCTGTATGACCAAAGATGACAGAATATTTTAGTTTTTTGTTTCTGCTGTTCGATCGCGCCGGCGCCTCACGCACACACAGCATTGCAAACGTTGCGGCCTGTTCATTATCAGAATAAAATACAGTCAACCAAACACATAGATACACTGGTTAATTTAAATAGTGCGTACTGCGTAGTAGCTACAATCGGTGCCGTTCAGCCTGAGCTCGGGCCAAAGACACATTTGCTCATGTGACGAGGATGTTTTTTTAAGTGCGTTATAAGCCTGGTTTACATAATAAATAATAGTTTAGCATTCAAATACATCGCAAATATGGACACATTTAATTGGATTAATGCCGAATGAGAGAGGTAGGCTGCGCGACAACGCTGTTTGCGTTTAGTTTCGCATTGAATTAACCTGGGGGCTTAAAAACTAATTAAATTGAGTGAAAGTAATGAACGTCTATAAGCTTCAGCTATCTAAATAGCATGCAAATTCAGCCACCGTGTGATTTTATATACAGCAGCTTCGGAAAAAGGCTGTGGTATTTTTTTTGGTATGGAAAATTCTGTGGTATTAAACTTCTCATATGCCAGTTATTAGTAATATAACTTCTAATGCCAAATGCCAAATATTACATTTACAAATTAATACAATATGAACGCACATAGAAAAGAAAGTAGGGATTTTTTTTCTTTTTTCATTATTTTCTTTTATTGTTATTTTTTTTCTATTTAGTCATTTTTTCTGACCATCAAGTGTCAGTCACTCTCAATGCCAACTGGCAGGAAAACATGGTAAATTCTAACCATTTTTTACAATAGATAAAGTGCAGACGATTCATACAACTATTTCCACACAGTGGTGGCATAGCGGACGGGCACGCAGGGCATGCACTGCGGTGGGGCCCTGCGATAACCTCCCCGTGCTGAGATGCGTCGTGTCATGTGTCGACGATAGCCAGAGATATTGCCAAAAGCATCAAAAATTGGCAATATTAAGAGGATTTAGCATTTCCAATTAATGTAGGCCTGTTACATTCTTCTTATTATTAGGCCTATTATTATTAGGTTACTTTTATTATTAAATTACATGAAATTATTGCCCTACAATAATTTCATAGCGCGTCACTGCATGACTCGCTGTCCTCATTGAAAATGTTTTTAAAAAGTTTTTTTAAACGGGTCTATTAATTAATACATTTAATTATAGGCCTTATAATTAAAATGATTAACACTGCAGTCATCAATGAAAATTAAGAGCAGCTTTATTTCATGCACAGATTTTCAAAAACAACCTGTTTAACGCAAAATACGTTTCTTCTCATGTTTTTCACTATATGGGCCACAAGAGAAATATTAAGGGGATTATTTAATTTATATACCGTTATCAGCATATGTTGAAGTAGTTTCGTCTCTCGTTGTCTCAGAGAATATGCGCCGTAAATGCAGCGTTAGAAAGCTCCGTCAGTTTTATTTACTTACACTTTCTCTATAGTGAATTGACTGACGTTCACCGGCATAACTCTTGCACACAATTTGCGCTACTTGCTTGTGTTGCTTGACCCCTCCCCCATAATATTAATTGTTTATAGGCCACATATTAGGCACTTTTTTTTAGGTTTTTAATGTTTATTTTTCAATGTAAATGAAAGTGACACCAAAAAAACAGGAACATCATTATGAAATCCTTGGGGGGGGCTGTGCCGGCTAAGCATGTTTCTGATGGGGCTATAGCCCCGTCAAGCCCCGCCCTAGCACCGCCACAGCATATTAGAATGATTTCTGAAGGATCATGTGACACTGAAGACTGGAGTAATGATGCTGAAAATTCAGCTTTGCATCACAGGAATAAATTAGATTGTAATGTATGTTAAAGGGGGTCATATGATGCGATTTCAATTTTTCCTTTCTCTTTGAAGTGTTACAAGCTCTTGGTGCATAAAGAAGATCTGTAAAGTTGCAAAGACTAAAGTCTCAAATCCAAAGAGATATTCTTTATAAAAGTTAAGAGTCAACCACGCCTACCTAAAACGTCTCGTTCTAACACGCCCCCACATGTCTACGTCACAATGTGGGAAGATTTGCATAACGCCACACAAATGTTATCCGCCGGCCGCGCCGTTCTCAAGCCTGCCCGCCGCTGCTCACTCTAGGCCACGGCTCACTCTAGGCCTCCGGCCTCCGCTCAGTCAAGGCCGCGGCGAGTGTGTGACGCTGTGTTTCGTTGTGAAAGCGAAACTACTTTGTTTGGCTTTCCAAAAGAGGACACAACTA